GACCAAGACGACTATGCCATAAATAGTAGGGATGCAAATGGATTGGTTTTGAATCAAGGTATATTCAAATCTGATCAGATCTTACAAACATCAATTTGAATTTGAATCCATTCATAACGACAGATATCTGAATATGATCCGATCCGATTTCCTTTCTAAACAGTTAAAAAATATTACCGTTTATATTAAAGAAAAACAAAAATACAAGTATTTTCTTTAACTATTTTCATCATATATATACATGTGTTATATATATATATATATATATATATATATATACACATCAGATCTTTTCAAATAAGATAGGAGGTAATTTGAATTCGATCCAATTTTTCAATCGTATCCTATTACCCGATCTGATTCGACCCAAAAATCTGATAGGAGTATATCTGAACCCAACAAAATTGGATCAGATCATAATCTGATCAATTTGCACCCCTAATAATTAGGCTTGACTCTTTCTAGACTGACTTATAGACTTTGTAGCCACAAGACTAGCTTTATTCTCCAACATGTAGAGACCGCCCACCATACTACCTCTACCAATCGTCCTCCCAAAGGTCAAATCCTGGAACACACAAGAAGGAAAATTGGTTATTGAACAATTTAAGGTATGAGAAATGTTGCTAATGGAAATTAAATTAATAGGCAATTTAATAACATGCAACACATTAGAAAGGGTAAGACCAAAAGGAACAGAGATGGTTCCTTGACCAACTATGGTAGAGAATGACCCATCAACCAGTCTTACCTTATCTCTTCCGGAGAAGAGGTTATATTCTTGAAACAAATTGGACTTACTAATCCTGTGATTTGAGGTTCTAAAGTCAATTATCCAAGGAGATTTAGATGTTTGAGATGACACATGGAAAGTAGTGGCAAAGTTACCTAATATAGACACAAAAGTAGCAGAGGGAGTAGGGCCATAATCCATATGACGAAGTGTCCTACCATACAACTTCAAATGGTCACAAAAAGAGTTGATGATCTCTTCCTTGGGATCGAAGTTAGAAAGACATTCCTGAGATACAATGGGGCTAGTAGTCTCCTGAGAGGCCATATTTGCTAAATTATACTTCTTTTGGCTTTGCTGGACTGGCTTCTTATTCTGATCAAATGCTAGTTTTTTATTCAACTATTGAGCCTACATCTTCTCATGAAAATCCCAAAAAGTCTCTAGTGTGCCTAGGCTGTTGACAATGAGTGCACCAAAGTTTATCCTTGTCCTTTATCCTCTTCTAAAGGTCACCCTTCTTAAAAGAATTTCCACCATTTGTATCTGCACCTCCTCTAGCTACCAAAACAACTAGCTCCCCCTCAGAATTATTTATCACATTTCTTTTACTCTCTTTAGACTGCACTAAGGCATACACTTCCTGCACTGATGGGAGATCTTTACTTCCTAATATCTGAACCCTAATAGACTCAAACATAGGATTCAGCCCCAAAAGGAAAGCAAAGACCCATGTTGGGAAACTAGAGACTTGTAGGTTTTAGCATCCACATCACATTTCTAATTCATATTCTAATAATGATCCGACTCCTTCGAGATTGAGGTCAAATCTGATTAGTATATGAAGAGACTCCTCTCCCCCTATTTACAAGTTGAGGATCCAGATAGATTTTTGCATAGTGTCAATTGTTCAGAATAGGTAGGTTTAGCTTATCCCCAAATCTCATAAGTAGTATCTGCCCACATGAAGGTCTTCCTCACCTGTGGCAGCATGAACAGTAACAGCCACAACCCACAACATCACCATACTGTTTTTTTATCCCATTTATCATTGTTTGCACTTCTAGACTTCTCTTCTTTAATCTTACCATTAGTGTAACCTGTCTTTCCCCTTGCAATTTTGTAGAGTTTAATTCCCTTTGACCATTCTAGGTAATTGAGTCCATCAAAGGGAATTACAGCCATAGGAAAATTCCTATCAAACCCCCCATTCTCTCCACCTTGACTAGAAGGCAAACTAGAGACAACTGAATCCTCAGAAGACATGGTAGAGAAGCCTGATTTCACTATTCAGCCACAAGAAAAGAAAAAGAGTAGAACAGGGAGGAACTATCACAAGAATACTCAATCTCAATCAAATCAGCATTATAAGATCATTTCCTTCTGTTCATACAAAGAGTTCACATGCTACCACACTGCTGAAACAGTTCCAGGTCTGGACAGCCCCTATGAGTACCACTTTACCCTACTCTAGGCTACACAGTCACAACAATCACCAAAAATAACATAACTAGCTGCTGTTACAGCAGATACAGATCATCCAGGCCTACACAACCCACCTACATGGGTACAAGAGGATCACGCGATCCACATAGAAGTAGGAAAAAACTGCAAAAAGCTTCACAGCACCCAATCACCTCACAGGTGATTTCTTGGCAAACGACCAAGAAAAAAACTGCACAGGAACTCCTCTCGTATCAGCCGATGTACTTGTCCTCTATGTTTAATCTAAAAAAGGAAATCAAGAAAGAAACTTTGATCGAACTGTCCTCAAGCTCAATACCAATGCTCTGATACCATGTTTTCTTGGTAGAATGTGTTAGAAAGTCAGACTATAGAAGAGAGGAGAATTGATTGGGAGTCAAAAAGGTATGCTGGTGGCACTAGCTTTTCTATTTATATTAGGGTGACACAACATAACAATAAAAAGGATATAAAAAGACCAAAGTGCCCCTGTGGCACATATTACATAGTTATTAACAGATTTAACAATTTACATCAAGCAATCTTGAACAGGAATCTCCGAGATAATGATACTTTTAGCTGCTTCATGCACACCATGCTTGAAGGCAAGCCTTCTCTTTATTTCATCAATGCAAAACTGCATAGTAGATTTTCTTGAGCTTGATATACTATTATTATTGGTCTTCTCTTCCCAAAATGGGTTTATAGTCATCATGACCCATTTGTTTCTATTAAGTACTCTGGTATTTTCTAATTTTCTTTAATTTAGAATTTTCAGTTATTTATTTTGATATAGGATGCTTTTGCCATCTCTTTGGATTTACAATTCACCACAGCTCAGAGATCTGTATCATCCTCCCTTTTTGTTTACTAGAAAATGTGCTTAGATAATCACCAGCTGCAACTTTTGGGGAACTTTGTACTTTGTTGAGTCTGCAGAAAAACTCATTCTCTCAAATTGTTTTGGTAACGGTGCAGAAGCTAGTCTCTTGAGTTTGTCCCTTTGCCATTTGACAAATTATGCATTTGTTAACATGCCAGACAATGCTGTCACAAGTCAGTTTTTTTAAGATAGTTGTTCAGAGAGTAATGACCATAACCAAAAGGATTGGGCATCTCTTGCAACTTCAAGCTCTTCTGTGTATTAATATGAGGTTTCTCACCTATACCATCATATTTTCACCCCTCCCCCCCTGAAAAAAAAAAAGAAAAGAGCTTAAACCTTGTGAATTGTAATTGTTATCCAGCACCTCTTTTTATTCATACAATTTCTTGATCCCCATTATGGTGATCTTGCCAAGTAGCTTCTCTTGATCTGGTGCTTTAGTCTTGATATTGAAAACCATTTTCTGCTTGTTCTATGGGGTTTTACTCCACCTCCTATTGGCTCATCATGAAGCTTGGGAAAATATTATTGAAGTCCTTGTCGTACAAATCAGCTGGTTCATAATCCTCGAAACTTCTTGATGTTCATTGGACTCCCCCGCCCCATGGCTGGTTTAAACTGAACTTTGATGGGAGCAATGTGGGAAACCCAGGCCCTGCAGGCATTGGAGGAGCTATCAGGGATGAGGCAATATTTGTGCCTTATTCTCAGGTCCATCTGGGCATTCTAATGTGGCGTCTACAGAATTTTTAGCTGCTGTTTTTGGGCTTGAGAAGGCTAAGGAACTGAGTATGGAAAGGCTAATTATTGAAGGTGACTCCAAACAGTTATGGACTGGTTAAGAAAAGGGGAAGGAGTCTCTTGGCACCTAAGGAACGACCTTAGGAAATTCAGAAGGCTCTCCAGGTATATACTGGTTCAAATTAATTGGGTTAGAAGATCAGCCAACAGTTTGGCAGACAGCTTGGCTAAACAAGGGGTTCAAAGAGAGTCAATGTTCTGGGCCTTTGTGTAATTTTTGGGGGGGTTTGGACACCTTTGTCCTCTTTGTTTCCTTCACAACTTCTGGTTGTACTGTTTCTCTAATATTAATGAAAAAATTTTCCTGAGTTATTGATCCAAAAAAAACTTCTTGATGTTCAGGTTCTAATCTAAAGAATGGTTCACTGAGTTTCAAATGCCTGTAAATGGAACTTTAAGTCTCAGCCTCTCATTACTTTCATTCATAACCATGCAAGTTTAAGTGAATCCAAATGACAAAAGAAAAAAGTTTAACTGAAGCAGAGTATCAATATTTAATACACTAATCCCTAGGCCTTAGACCTCCAACCTACACTTTCTTACCTAAGGTTGTGTTTGTTTGTGGTCTAAACTCTGGACCAATGTAAGCTAGCACTCCAGTCCAGTTTTGTCTGCGTTTGGTAGTGGTGTTTTTATACATCGTAAATTGATGTATAACTTCATTCAAGAAAGTTTTTGCATTGATAATTGGTGTAATGTTAACACTGATTTTTTTGATGTAAAACTTTCCTCTATTCTCTTCTCTAACAATCCAGTCCGCATTTTACATTCTCAGTAAACCATCGTCACCCTACTCCACCGGTGTAAAAGTGTATTTACACCACAACCAAACGCAGACTAAAGCTCAAATAAATTAATTACAGATAGAATAGTCTGTAGAAACTTATTTTAAAAACAATTCTTAAGACTTTGATTTTGCTCACCATTTATAAACACCATGCAGAGAGTCCTAGAAACACAAAGGATCTCAAAAGGCCTCAATTTGAGGACCATTCAAATGATTTTATGTCTGATAGTCTTCTTTCTCCATCAAGATTTATGGTCTCGAAGCAGGCATTCTGATTAGATCAGAACATAATATACTATCAGTTTGACCTCAGTACAATTGGTTTGCAGAGAACTTCTTTGTCAAAGCTGCTATCAGTCGTTCTTGCTGGTGGATTGATTCTGGTTTCGGTTAGTGTTCTAACTCAACTTTGTTGGCCTCGGATCAACAAGGGCAGGAAATATCCTGTAACACATTTTCCAGTTCTGTTGTCTGAAGATGACTGCTACCATCATAAGTTCCTTGAAGAAAATGAGGTACGTGCACAATGGAATATTTACTTTACCCTTATTTACAGTTAATTTACAAATATTTATTGTGCATTTTGTCTGTGATATACTGCAAGAACTAGCAGTTGATAGGTGAAGGGTTAGTTAACTTGATTTAATGTGTCATAAATGTGAACTACATGCAATGGTATGGGGATGTTTTATTCATAGTAATTCATGGTTATGTAAAAGATATGCAAATGTGGTCTTCCTGTGGCTTGAACTTTTATGGAAAAATGTGAAGCCATGGCCTTAGTTCCATCCAGATACCCATTTGCATATCTTTTACAAGGGAGTTCTGAATATGATTCAGAAACATTTGTGCATTGTACACCATCAATAAGGTCTGACTATGCCTACAAAAAAGGGAAAAAATGTATTGACTATGAAGTCCCATACAACAAGGAATTTCCAGTGATAAAATGATGATTACATGAGCAGTTACAAAAACTTGGATGACTATCTTACTTTTTTCCTTTCCAACAGAAAGAGACCATTAAGGAAGACACTCCTCACCTGTTATCTAGATCTAATTTTCAGTGAGGGATGAACATCCCACTGATCTAGTTGTTTTATAACATAGTCCTGAAACCAGTTTCATAAAGTATAAATTGAGGCAGTTGTTCTAAAAGCTTCACATGATTCCCTGCACCCCAATCTACCCCTTTTTTTCCTTTTTCTTATCTAATATCCAGATTTTCTGATGGATAGTTGGAAACCCTGTGTGTATCAATCATCAAAAAGATCAAGGAAGCTTTTGGTTGGCCAGGGGATATACTAATGGACAGAGATTCTGGTGTCTGGATCGGAGAACTCCCAAATTACTTGAGGAGGAATGGTAGTATGGATCCAGTTAAAGAGATTGTTTCCAACAGTGGAGAAGATATTTCTATGTGCTCTATTGCGCCAAACAAAAGTGAAGGTGATGCCAGCATATCAGCTCAGGATATTGCTAGTTATCAGGTGACCCCAGTGAACTGTTTTTAGTTCTTTTCTTGTTTTCCTACCTTCTAAATAAGAATAGGAATTCCTAAAATCTGGTTAGATTAGGGATTTCCATATTTGAGAATAATTATTTAATGAAATAGATATATTGATTTGGATGATACGTCTAATGGAAATAGGAATTCATTTCATTTGAAATAAGGAACCCAGGAAAAAGGTACATCTTGGTTGGTCCTGTATAATTGCTCCATGGAATACTGGATGTGGTTGACCCCCCAATGGCATGATGTGAAACAAGCTGTGATTTCTCTTGTATTCTTTTTTTAATAGTAAAGTAAATTTTCATTAAAAGAAAAAATGAGTTGCAATCAAGTGAAGATGCTTCACCATCAAGATGCATATTTACAAAGAACAGCAGAATACAACCAAAACCTGCCTTTAATAATTATCCCCCAAAATATCCAAAGCACAGCAGAATTCAGACTCAAGTGCCCTCTATGGACATCTTCAAATTTAGGTTGGACTAACAACCATTCCATAATCAACAAACAAATATCAGCTACCAGTACTGTATTAGATTACTGCTTTTCTTCAAATTTGTGCCTATTCCTTCTTTCAAATGCTCAAACAGATTTCAACATCCTTCCGTTTCTTCTGAATTCCCATGCATTGTTTTTTTCTTATTGTCTCACAATTATTTAGAAGTTTTCAATTTTCATTTGATACTTATATCTATATGTACAGTGAATCGATAAACATCTTAATCTTTTTTTTTTTATGAGAGGTGGTTTTTAATATAAGAATCAGGACCTACCTATCCATGTAGTGAAACCTGAAGCAAGAGCCAGACTTCCTAGGCATTGCCTTTTGTGTTTTATTCCATCTGAATAAAATTCCATATGGTTCAAGTGATGCTAACAAAGAAAAGAAAAGCAGTCAGAACAAATAATGGTATAAGGATATTTTCTGCCCCACTTGGGCATGGCCACTCTATTCATGCTGAGATTCTGGCTTCCTAAATGGCTCAAGTGATGTTAACAAAGAAAAGAAAAGCAGCCAGAATAATCATGATATATTCTGCCCTAATCGGGCATGGTCACTCTTCATGCTGAGATTCTGGTTTTCTAAATGGCTCAATTTTTTCCCTTTTGGGTGTGAAGGGAGTGGAGATTGAGGGAGACTCTCCTAAGGTGATTATTGGTTGGATGTTTGGTGGCTCTGTTCATCCCTGGTTGTGGTGTTATCATACTGAAGAGGCTAAGGCTTCTTCCCATATGAAGAGCTTGTTCAGATTAATTCCAAAGCTAGCCAATTCATTGGTGGATAGTCAGGAGACGGTATATGCTATTGCTTTTGTTATTGAAATTATGGCCATCTTCTTCATGAGTAGGTTGAGGCCTCTCCCCTTGTTTTCATTTGATTCTTATTTGGGTGAATGGGCATATGTCTTGGCAGTCATGGATCTCATGCCTACTCTTGTATCTGTGATAGGATTTGTAATTTCATATGGCCATCTTCTTCATGAGTAGGTTGAGGTCTCTCCCCATGTTTTCATTTGATTCTTATTTGGGTGAATGGTCATATGTCTTCACAGTTGTGGATCTCAGGCCTACTCTTGTATCTGTGATAGGATTTGTAATTTCATTTTGGTTTTTGCCTTATTTTGGACTCTTTGACACTTTTCTTTGTATTTACACTTAGGCTGAGTTTGGGAAGAGTGCAAATATAAATATGCTCAGTGCAAAACCTTGTATACGGTATTTCTAGACCTTGTATTTGCACCATACATATTTGTATTTGCACTCTTGCCAAACTGTGCCTTATTGAACCTTATTCACCCCTTGATGAAATGCAAGTGGTTCTGTATAGCCGTTATATGGATATATTTTATATGTTTATGCACAACTTTTTTGGGCTGTCCTGCATTTAGTGGAAGTGAACTCTTAAGCCTGTTCAGATGGAATTGCATTATTATCATTGCTCTTACTCTTGTGGCCAAAATTTGTTGCTGTTGCTTCCTGTTATTGATTTTCATGATTGTACAACCTTTTTCTGTTGAGTTGCTTGACATGGTTTCCTTGGGCATATAGGTGGTGCTATCAAAAGATGGGAAGATAATTGGGTTTCAGCCTACAAGCCGTTTGGCTGTTAATCATTGGGGAGGCAATCCCTTGGCGCAGGAACTATACGGTGGGCGAAAGTTATCCCCTGGTGAGCACCACTTTCCTGCCATAATAGTAATATTTAAAATTGTAGACGTGGATGAATGAACTAGTTCTTGATTGGTGGCTTCTTCCAAACAGGTCTTATAGAACCTGGTCTCAATATCCCCCGACCAGATGAAATTGTTTTAATTGAGCTGTTGATGTCGGTCAACCCCGAATCCCGATTTGCATTGGCGAGGGCAATTAAATGATCATGTAAGAGAAAGCAAGCTACATGGTTTTTGTTTTTCTTTTCCCCTTTTAGGTTGCTCAATTATTCTTTTTTTTAATGGGTGGGTTTGGCATGCCTCCATTGTAAATGAAGGTTTTTCGGTTTGGTTGTCATCATTTGAGTCCACATTGACAGCAAATATGCATTTGAGCTGAAAATTTGTCGTCATTGTCGAGTTAGCAGAGAAGTTTATTGTCATTGTGGATAATGGGAAATGAAATTAAAAGGAAAGAAACTAGTTTTCATGGTGGGTATGGCTGGCCTTCTATTTTTCTAACAGGGAGATTGGAACTTTGTTAGCTGTCATAGATCATGGTAGCACTTATCTGGGTGTTTTTCAACTAGGAATTATGTTTGAGGCCAAATGGCCATTTCTACTCACTCCGGGTCTCTGCCCACAAGAACTTTATCCACGTTTACCCACAATACACTATTTCTGTGCATTGGGAACATCTCTCTGTGCATAATACTATGTAGGAAGGATGAGATGTTCTCCATGTGTACCTGCGATGTTACGTGGGTAGATGTGGGCAGGAGGTCCGGACTCAATTCTACACGGCTACAGCCTACACCACAGTCGCAACGGAAGCAGTCAGGCAATGCATTGTTGGGTGCAATGCACAGCTGTAGGTTGTATAGCCTTGTAGCCTTTTTTTTATGGCTAAATTAACAAACATAAACATTATTACTATCCTGATACAAAACTGCCATAAACCAACAAGTCTTGTTTATTATTATTATTAAACTACACTGGGCAATGAGGATGCTTACGACAGTACGATACACCTTACCTTGTAAGCTGTAGGTTGTAGCCTTTTATTTTTATTCTCGTCGTCGTCAAAATTAAGTGCTCAGGTCTTGCATCCACAATTTCCCAAGCGAAATGGACTATCAGCCTCTTCTTGAATCTCGCTCCAAGGTTTTGCATCTCAGTGGAAGTAAAACTGCCAAGCTGAGGCCTATTCAGTCAAATCTATATATTGCGAAGCAGAATAGAGCAGCTCTAGCATTGCAATATGATCCAGAAAGAAATGAAACGCTCCAATCTGACAAGATTTTGATTTGGATTTGTTTCATTCACAAACCCCAGAATTTGACCCTCCTGAAAGGTGGTTGGGACATTATGATCAAAATTTGACGGTCATAGTGTTGCCTAGCGCTAGGGGTGTCAATTGGACTGGATTTGGTCCAATCCGATCCAGTCCAATGTGAGTCCATTATAAGTGGATCAGGTCCAATCTAATCCAATGAATGTTTTGGACCAATTTGGACCGGTCCAATTTAATGTCTGGACCATCCAATCTGTTCAAATTCATTTTGATTTAGATTGGTTTCAACTCAAACCCGGTCCATTGACACATTCTTATCTTATATCAATGGATCAGATATTAGCTTAATCCAACCCAATCCAATATAAATTTGTTACGGACGGACCAGGCCCAATCCAATCCAATAAATATTTTGGACCGGATTGGTCCAATCCAATGTCTTGGTCCATCCAATTCATCCAAATTGATTTTGGACTAAACGGGGTCCAATCCAGAACCAGTCCATTGACACCCTTACCTAGCACCCTAACGGGATGCCAAGATTTTTGTATAGCATTAAAAAAACCATGCTAGTTGGCATCGGAGATAGCAATGGATCCATTTATATTTGGAACTTTTTTTCTTTGGGATTTTTAGCCTGCACTCCACCTCAGAATTCAGATTTGAACTACAGACCTACAACAATTCAAATTCATGAACAGCTCCACCTATAACACCTATACCCACCTGTGAATTGACATCAATTCCAAGCTAGCACCCACCCCCAACTATATGGTGGAGCTAGGATTTCAGAGGTGGACTGAACGGTAAAAACCTCTTTTTCTTTTGGGGTAGCACAGTGAAACCAGGCTAAGATCAATTGAACCTTACATTGGATAAATAGGAGAAAAAGAAAATAAGTAGGTTTGGGTATCCTTGCTTTGGAACAGAGTCATCAACTAAGAATTTCTGGCATAAATCCTGTAAAATGATGAAGCTTCTTATCAGGTGCTGGGATATTTTCTTTTTGCTTGTGTGTGGGTCTTATCACCTCTCTTATACTCTTATCTTTTTTTTATTATTATTATTTGGCGAGTATCAAAGAGAAAAACGTATTATCAAGTTATCAGGTCGGTTAAAGCCTTAAAGGATAAACCCATCTTTACTTCTCTCACATTCAAAATTTCTTATTGAAGCAATTTCTAAAACAGAATGAAAGAATAAGTCACTCAGAATCAGAAGTTCAGAACCTATGAGAAAAGAAATAGGCCTATGAACGCTTCATTCGATAATTTATGATGAGTATTATCCAATGAAAATGTACAACATATTAAGCATTAGACCCTTGCGGCACCCTTGGCAATGCCAATGATATAGCATACCATGTTGAAGTGATGGTGGCAAGCTGGCAGCCAGGTATCTTGTCTTTTCCTCAGGACCAAATCAATGGACATTTCTTTAGTCACAAGGTTTAGTCAACTCTAGATATTGTAGAGCCATTAACGGGACTCCTGCTTGCAACTTGCAAGTTCATGCTCTAGGATACAGATATGCTGTTGTTGAGATCTGCACCATCTCCCTGCTTCTGTTTCTTCTTTTGCTTACGGTTCTTCTGTTTCTTCTTCAGCCTTAAGTGGTCTTTAATGCTCTTCTCCCACTCCTTTTTGTTTTTCTGATAAAGTAGCATTGCAGCCCGGGCATCTTCTATCTGAAACAAGCAGCCTCAGTAAGTCAAGGGTTCTCAGGTAGTTCTAAGTTTCAGCAGTGCTTTGGCTGACAACAGAATATTCATCTACTCTTCCATCTTCTTTTTGGCAAGTAAAATAACTTTTATTAATCAATAATAGGCACAAGGTCCTACTCTCCCAACAAAGGGAAAAATTACATATTACGTTTGAGCCCAATACAAATGATTTCTATTCGCCCCATAGTTGTCAAGGCAACTAGGCGATTTTTAGAAGTCGCCTCGCCCAACGCCAAGTGTTTTTTGTATTAGGTGCTCACGCATATACACATTATATCATTTGTTGAATAACTTTATATACATTGTATCATTTTATTGATTGGTTTTATTTTATTAGAATACATCCTGTTGTATGTTTACTCCTTTTTTTATAAAGATAAATCTTTTTTACGAAAGCTACGAAAGTTTCTTTGGGTTTGAGTTTTGAACCAAGACTGAGAAGAGAAACCGAGGATTCAGTCCAAGTCATCCAAGACCTCCCGGTAAGTTTCTTCTTCTTCTTCTTCTTATTATTATTATTAAACAGTCCAATTGTTCTGTGGTCCTTTTTTTTCCTATGTTTTTGGGATGAAACAGGGGCTCCGCCTCTTCAACCTCCTCCTCCTCCTCCCTCCTCTTTTCTCAAATCAACCTGGTACTCCAGTATTTTATTTTCTAATTTAAAAAAAAAAAAAAAAAAAACTTTTGGAAACGAAACAGGGGTTCCGCCCCAACTTTCTAAAACTTTCCTGTATTTTTCTGCACTATTTTTTTAATAATGCTTTTTTGGGGACGAAACAGGGGCTCTGTCCCTTTATTTTATACTTTCAAATTCCATCGCCTAGGCACCACCTAGGTGACTGGGCGCCCTGTGGTCGCCTAGGCTCGCCTAGGCGCCTTGACAACCCTTGCTTAGCTAAAGTATCCACCATCCCATTTGCCAATTTCCTCTTCCAATTCCCAGGATGAAAAAAATAATAATTTTATGCTTAGTGCAGCAAAATGGAGAGTGGAGTTTATGGGCCAAGGTGCCACTTATTCATTAATGACGTTTTCATTTATTGATCATTTGATCAAAATAAATACTAATCATGGTGACATATAGGGATATGTTTTGAAAAGAGTAACAGAATAAGCAATTTTAAGGGACATATAGGGATATTTTTTAGAAAACACATGGAAATGGTGGGAAAAAAAAAAAGATATGCATGGATATGTTGGGAAAGCTCATATAAATCCAAAAATTACATCAACAACATTAAACCTAAGGCTGAAATGACTATAAATAGGGCATAAACATATAAGGGACATTTCAATAGCTTATGGGAAGTGTGAAAGAATTAAAATATGCATATATAACTCAAAAAATTAATAAATGTCATTACTATTTAGAAATACTTATTTTAATTTTTAGAAAAGGTGGATTAGATGTTAAAACATTAAAATGCATTTACAAGTAGTCATGATATGGTGAATGGTTTAATAGTGTGAGTCCTTTCCTTTCATGTGAGCAACTTAAGTTCAAGTCCAATTAACAGTACATAGTTTTTATGTATGGGAATGAGTTTAAATGAAAACCTATAATGGAGTTGAAGTTAATTTACAGACTTTCCAAATTCAAACGGGCAGACTTTTTTTTGGTAATAAAATAAAATTTATTAAAAGAAAAAAAGAGATTACAAAGGGGAGTGACCAAAAGTCACTCGAGAGATAAGGGGGGAAAAAAAGAAGAACAGAACTTAAGGACTCAAACACAAGCACTCCAAACCAGCCTAGCCTCAAAAAACCAGAAGAAACCAGAACTCACATAAACACCACAAGCAATCCCAAAAACAGCCTAAAGATAAAAATTCAAACCTCAAGATAACAAAGACAACAACCACATCAAGACCCCACAGACATACATCTAATCTCGAATAAAAACCAAAAACCACAACCATCTCGCTAAAATTCAAAACGGGCAGACTTGTAGATTTTTTTTTTGTGGATAAATGGCAGACTGTTATAGAGTTAATGGTTTTTTTTTTTTTTTGATAAGTAATAGAGTTAATGGTTATTGATACCAAATACACAACACATTAGCAGTACACTCAGCTTATTTGCTGATACATTACCAAAACCATGGGTGTATTGGCCGATAAATATGGATACAAGTGGAATGGCACCAAAATCATGCCACCTTCTACTAAGTCAAACGTCTAATATGTAGCAGACCATATTGGTTATTATGTATTGATACTTTAACCTTGGATCCTCAACCATCTCGCTAAAATTCAAAACAAGCAGACTGTTATAGATTTTTTTTTAGGATAAATGGCAGACTGTTATAGAGTTAATGGTTATTGATACCAAATACACAACACATTAGCAGTACACTCAGCTTATTTGATGATACATTACCAAAACCATGGGTGTATTGGCCGATAAATATGGATAAGAGTGGAATGACACCAAAATCATGCCACCTGCTAGTAAGTCAAAAGTCCATTGTATCCGGCCATATTGGCTATATGTATTGATACTTTAACCTTGGATCCTCAACCATTTGATTTGGGACCCTGAAATTTATTGTGACTAGAGAATAGAGATAAACGTATTGTCTTCAACTCAGTGGGTGCAATACAGTGTTAATGCAATATGGTGGAAATATGACATGGTTACTCTTGTCAAGAACATAAACTAGAATCTTACAGGGCAATGCTCCCCATTTTGGATCTTAACACCAAGAAACTCTGCTGCAAGATCTCGAAGTGCCCTTTTACGCCCTTCCCTGCTTTGAAAACACACTAAATTTTAATGGGAATGGAAACAGAAAGTGTAAAATATAAATGAAATTTCAGACTTTAGTTGGACAACACTACAACAGAAAAGTGCCCTTTTATGCACCTTAAAAAGGGTTGATACTCAGAGGTATCCCGGATGTCCTTCTTTGGATGACTTAGCAGCAATGCCTGTTTCAAAAGGACCTTGGTTAATCGCTTAGTTTTCCACTTCTTGAATCCATAATAAAAACAAAAGTGGGAACCTTAAGATCATTGCGTAAGGCATGGCCTACAAGGATCCTTCCTTTGATCAACTCTGCTACTTTCTTCTGAACAGCTTGGAAGTCCTTTGCTGCAGCAGAAGGTTAGATCATAAGCATGCATTCTTTTGTTTTTTTCCCAATTTGCTGCTTATCATCATTTCAACCAAATAATATGAGAGCTGTAAACATGAGACTTCAGAAAGAAAAAGGAAAAAGTCTCAACCTTTCCTCAAGTCACGGGGTCGAATCCCACTTATTTTAGTACGGAAGTCAACAACACGCTCTACTGGGCGAACATACTCATCATAAATGGCATTCCCCCACATATTCACCTGCAATGAACTAATCGCCACTCAATATCAATGAACATATAAATATGGAAATCTAACAGTTAAAATCAGGGGGCTTTTTGACCCTACAACCTTCAGGTGGCCTAAGAGAAGAGGGAGGGTATTATGGAGATGTGTTAGGGCTGCTTTAGTAACAGTATGGGAGGAAAGAAATAACAGGATATTCAATGATTAAGAAAGAGATGAGGCTACTGTTTGGGATTGTCTGCTGATTAGGGCTATTAATTGGGCTAAAGTATTGGATCCGTTTTCACATTTCTTCTTTGTTGGCATGTGAAGAAACTGGGAATTAATTGTGAAATCTTCTTCAGTTAAGGACAAACCTGTTGTAGCCCGGAAGCCCCCTGAAGAAGGCATCATAAAGCTAAACATTGGTGGTAGTAGCCTTGGTAATCCTGGGCCTTCTGGTATTGGAGTTTCAGGAATGCAGAGGGTCAGATTGTTGCCTTATTCTCTGGTCCAATCGGAGTGGGGGATGTGGTTAGTGCAGAGGTCCAAGCAGTTTAATAGGGAGCACATATTGCTAAAGAGTTGAACTTCGGGAGTTTGGTCATTGAAGGAGACTCTAAATTGGTAATAGGGGGGCTGAAAGAACCGGAGACTGTAGCTTGGTCTTTCAGGGGGGCAATGAGAAGATTCAAGTGGCTAACATCCAATTTAAAAGTTAGATTTCAGTGGGAGAGGAGATCAGCTAATGGGCTGGCAGGCCTACTAGCTAAACAAGGGGTGCACAGGGATCATTTATTTTAGGCTCAATTGTAATTTTGCTTTGCTTTAGAGGCAGCATCTCGTGCCTCTTTGGGGAACTCTTTGTTGTATCTGTTGTTAGTTCGTCTTGATTAATTTTAATGAAATGCTTTGTTACTTATAAAAAAGATATTAACTGGAAATTTACACCATTGGAGATAGGATTATTCTGGTATTTAATTGGAAATGACCAATTTTTGATAAACGGGGGCATAAATACAGTATGATCCTTTTGAGTAATTAATTAACAATTTAGTTCTACAAGTCATCCTTCATATTTTAAATTAACATATAATAATACATTATTCTTCTTCCATAAGAAAAACTATCCATAAACCGACCCTTACTTTAATTCTTCAGAATAATGAAAGCTATAATTTCTTGCCATGATGAGCCTTTTCAAAGTATATTATTACCTCTAAAATGATCCTTTCTTATCTTGTTTGGGATCAATCTTATAAAAGATAAAATGAACATGGTTTATAATGACATAAAAATTGGCATAAATGTTGTAAGTCTGCTTCTAGACATTTCTCTATATCATTCTTCACAAAATGATAGTTTTTTATAGAACAAAAATAATGCTCTAAGTTGCTTCTGTGACAGAAAGAGAAAGTATACTATTATACAGATGCAAAAAGGACAAAACATGGACAAAGTGCTGGATAACAAATTTATACCGAAAACTGAAGTTTTTTCCCGATTGGAGAAAACTGAAGTATCCTACACAACATGAGACCCATTTTGAAGTGTCAGACTGTTAATGCCACATGTTTAGCCTAATTCCAGAAGGTTCTGGATATTGTAAGGCAAGATAATTGTCTATAAATTTGTTAGTTTTGTTTTGTTCATATTTTGTTGTTCGTTTTCTCTTCTGTTTGTCTACATTCTTTGTTTGTTTTACACCCCCCAAAGCAAGCATGCATGTAGATACACTTCAAATTTGGAATTTTGTGGTACTGTTATGACCAACCACTCCCTTTCATGTCTTATAACGCATGAGGGAGGGGAAGACAAAACTGCAGAAAGAAATGCATACAATATTTTGCAAAACAAAGTGCATGGAAGGCCATATGGCATCAATAAGAAAAAGTGATATGCTACAAGCCTACAAATTCAAGGATCTAGAAGAGGTAAGGCAGACCCAAAAAACATGAGCTGAATGAGGGCCAATATACACCAATTGACCAGTATAGTTAGGACAAGGGTTTTTTTCAGTTGATATAAGTTTTTTTCTTGACAAAATAGTCACAATATTGCTACTGCAACCACTGGAGAATAAAAGAAGTAATTGTTACCAAGGAAACCCGACCAAGGGCACTTTTGTTTCCTTCAGAACTGACACCAACCATTTCACAGTCCATGGCTATGGCATTTGTCAAGCTGTTAAACAAATGAAGATTTTAATAAGCGCAAATTCTGAAACTTTTGCAAAAGAAGATTGAGAAAAAATCTTTGCACATTCAGAAACTTTTGACATCCTAGATAAAATAATTGTTACATACAGCTGCTTGATACAATATGCTGCAAGAATACTGATGGAAACATAAAATTAATAAGCACAGAAATTTTAGGATGTATAAAACCAAAATGCAATGTCAATAGAATGCATTACAAATTCAGATAAAGAAAGAAAAAAAAAACTGTTTTTCAATATTTACTAAGGGATAGTTGTGGACCAGGCACTATGAACAATAAAGACTAAATAATGGTATTGTTAAAACATTCATCTTGCACCATCCAGTCCATGATGAAAAATACTTTGTAATAACAATTTTGCATGCTAAAAAGCTAGTTGGGTTGCACAACTTCATACTGTTGAGTGCCATATTCATTGTTAAATTATGGGCGCGAATTAGATTGTCAAATCAATTTCTAGTCACTCATGTCAATCTTACGAGTAGTCAAGGCATAGGCAGCATTAGCAACTATCACATAAATTGGAGATTTGGAGTCTTGGTGCTCTTGAACATAACTACATAAGTAGTCAGAACTTGACAAATATGTCAGTAATTTAAAGAACGGAAAAATAGAAGCCATTTCACATTTCACAACAAGGCAGTTTAGCAGTGATACAAATAAACAGCTAGTGGATTTAATAACCTAATAAGATGTTACCTTCAGCTCATAAACATGGAAAAAAAAAACAGTAACAAAAAATATAAAGAAAGCACAAGCATAAGTACGGGGAAGAAGAACCTGCAATCAGAGTTAGTTGGGGTGATTGCAGACAGGTTCGGAGAATCATGCTCCGCATTCGATCTCTCTTTACGTTTTCCTGTAAAGAAAGCCGCAACAGAACCCAAGAAGTCAAGGTAACCAAAAACATGAAGAACAGAGCTACTTCTGACACAGACGTTATCATAAATCACGCTCTTTACCTAATACACTGTTTAGGGTTTCTCTCCCGGAACTAACTGAAGGTTTAGATGGATTAGGGCCCTGGCTTTTCAGTTTCTGCAAGAGAATGAAACCATATAACACGTTAGGGTGGGGCGAGCGAAAGAGAGAAAAACAGAGAAAGAGGGAGGGGATGGGGTGTACCTGTTGCAGTAGAGCCCAGTTGGGATTGAGAGACTTGATGGATTCTCCTCCCATCTCAACTCTCCAGTCTTTTCTCTTTCTCTCCCGCTTCTTCGAGTGCACCAATTTTCTGGTTTTTACGGGTCCCTTTGGCAGTTTGGCGGCTTGGACCTTCTTGAGGGCTGACTGCAACTGCAAACTGCAAACTTTGCCCGTTGAGGGCTGAGTTGTTCAGCTCAGCTGCTTTGAGTCGCTCAGGATAAGCTCCCTAAAGAGGCTGAAGCGGACAGCCCAACAATACCGACTTTCAGCTGCTTTCAGCATTTCTCTTAGAGATGAAAAAAAGGAAAATTTGTAGAAATTGCAAAATACATAAAATACATAGAAAAACGAAAGTTACAAAAAGTATAAAAAAAAATTATAGAAATTGCAAACAAAATAAAAATTATTTTTAAATTATAAAAACTATAGAAATTGAAAAAAATCAGAAAATAAAAATTGTAGAAAAACACAAAAATTGCAAATAAATAACAAAAAATCTATATCTATACTACTTTAAAAAGTAGAATAGCTTCAAGAATATTTCTAGAATTTTCTGAGGACAAAACTTACCCCTGTATATTTAAATTTATTGATAAAAAAATGAGGGCAAATAGGGTAATTGGTTATTGATATTAAATGAGTTGAACAGGGTAATTTTAAGATTTTCAATACATTCAATTCTCTCTCGTTAAGTCCAACATTTAAGGTATTAATTTGCATTCACCTAAATCATATATTTAAGGCTTTTTTGTTTTTTCTCTTCATTAAATTTTATAATTAAGTCCATACATAATAAATTAATAATTTCAATAACATAAAAACTTATACTTTTAATATCTAGCTGGAAAAAAAAATTGTGTTTTCATCTAGGTGGTGGTAAAAAATTAAACCATTTGGGTCAAATGGGCCAATCCATGTTGCCACAATTAAATAATAAAATTTGACATATTAAACAATAATAAGTATGATTGATAATATTTTAGAAATTGACCCACAGGTCAACACACTTTTGCCTTTGGGTCATAAGTCACAGATCAATTCGATTTTCAAGGTCAAACGAGTCAAACCACTCTACATCAACACTATGTGTGTGTGTGTGTAAAAATGCATATTTTATCAATAAATAGTATAATTATGGTTTACATATATTATAGTTATGTTTTACATATATTACATATAATATATGTATCATGTAACATTTATTTATGTTTTTAATTTTTTTTATTTATAAAAATATTGCAATTTGGGGCCAACAACAAGGTTTTTTCACAAAAATAGCATGGCAAGGCACATAAGGCCCTTGGGACATATAAATTTTGAAAACTTACTCAAAATTAAAAAAAAAAAAAAGATAATCCCAATTAGACATCGGAGTGCAAAGTTATGACTTTCAAAAGTTTGCACATAATTAAATGCACAACCTGCAACTTGGTTACTGGGTCGAACATGACAATGATTGAATCGCCTGGGTTAGATGGTTTTTAATTGAAAGGGGGAGTTTCAACAAAACAAAACCTAGAATCAAGGCCGAGTGACGGTTCGAACAGTTTAATCGACCAAGTCAACAACATGTTGAAAACATTGATGATAAATAAGAAATGTTTTTTATTAATGATGGAAATGGAATGTAAAATTTAAAACCAATTGGAAGTAAAACTATTTTCCTATTATCTCTCATTAAATCATATATCTAAGGTATATTCTCTTATTAAATCCTATATTTAAGATACATTTTTCTCATTATTAAATTATACTAATTAAATCCATAACAATAATTTTAATAATATAAAAATAAATATTTTGAAATTTAATTTGAAAACAAAATCATTTTCTTCCCTCTCAGTGGTGGGTAAGCAATCAACCATTTGAGGTCAAATACGTTAATAAATAATGCTATAATTAAATAATAAAAAATAAAATATATATTACAAAAAATAAAAAGAATTGGGCACGTCACTAATATTGTATATTCATTATACTGAACAAAAATAAATGTGGAATGTAAGAAGTATTTTTATATATGATGAAAATGGAATGCCAAAATTAAAATCAACCTAGAAGTGAAATGATGTCATAGTCAAATGATAAAATTTTTAAAAACAGAAAATACAAAGAATCACAAAAATTAATTTTGTACATAAGATATAATGTTATGTATTTATAAAAAATAAAATATTGGGTACATCTATAATATTATACATTTATTTATTGAACAAAAAAATATTATACATAAGATATAATTTTATAAATAATGGAAATGTAATACAAAATTTAATGTCAACCTATAAATCAAACTTTTTTTTGGGTCATGGGTTAGTGGTTTATGTCAAATGAATTAATTGATGATATGATAGTTAAATAATAAATATTTAAAAGTAATAAAAAAGTATAAGTAATCAAACGAATATATAAAAAATTATATATTAATTATGTCAAACAAAAATTAAGTGTGATAAGTAAAAATTATTTATATAATGTAGATGAAATATATAATTTAAAACTGATCCAAAAGCAAAGCTATTTTCTTATCTAAATGATGGGTCATTGATCCAACTTTTCAAAGAAATTCATAATGTCATAATTGAATAATAAATATTTTAAAAAAAGATTGAACACAAAAAATAAAAAAGTATATAGTGTTGTCAAAGACATTTTAGAGCATTTCTAATGTTATATAATCATTGTATTAAATAAAAATAATTGTTAAAATAAAAAATATTTTTATTTAAGACAGAAATGGAACACAAGATTTAGTAGTGTAGTAATAATAGTAATAATAATAATAATCATAATCGTAATCGTAATCGTAATCATAATCATAATCATAATCATAATCATAATCATGATTATTGTGATTTAAAATTCTACATGTGCACATTTAGTACATGTATTTAAGTTTATTTTTAGTCATATTGTTACTTTTATTAATTTTCAATTTATATCTTAACTATGATATATCTACTATATACTTAAAGCATTTGGGGGGTGTACGGTCACCCCCAAATGCTCGATACGTGTATCAGTCTGCATGTAATATCTAGCAGGCAGAGCCAAACCAGTCTATGTGTAATGACTCCTGTGCCGCTCCCTGTATCTAGACCTGTTCATGGTCCGGGTAGCCCGATGGCCCGACCCGCACCCCGGTCGGGCTTGGTCATGTAATTAGGCCCACGGGCCTAACCTCGGGCCTAACATAGTAAGCCCGATTGTGTTTCGGACCAGGCTCGGGATTTGTCAAAAAAGCCCGACTCAGCATTATATATTTTATAAAATATATAATATGTATTTTATATATTATATAAATAATATAATATTTATTAAAAAATATATATATTTATAATTTAATATATACATTTTTTATTCTTCTCTCTCTCTCTCTTTAGCCGCTTCAGCAATAGTAACAATATGGGCTAAACTTTGGGCTCGGGCCCAGGCCCGAGCTTCGGGCTTTTTATGAGGGTTGGGCTCGGGCTCGGGCCTTAGAAAAATCTGTTAATACTGAGTGAAAGCCCGGCCCGGCCCGGCCCGGCCCGACCCGACCCATGAACATGACTACCTATGTCTAGCAGTGTAAGGCATATGACTCTTGTGTTGCTCCCTGTGTCTATGTGTAAATGCTCGACACGTGTATCAGTCTGCGTGTAATATCTATCAGGCAAGGCTAAACTAGTCTACGTGTAAAGACTCCTGTGTCGCTCCCTGTGTCTGCATGTAATGTCCCGCACTCTCTCTCTACCTTCCCCCTTTTTCCTCCCAGTCTGTGTAACTTCTTTTCTGGTAGTCTGGCAGGCAATGCCACTCTCTCTCTATCTTCCCCCTTTCTCCTCCCAATCTGCGTAACTTCTTTTTTGGCAGTCTGGCAGGCAGCACCGAAGATCTCGTGTTGCAGGGTCAAAGATTTCTCTCTTACAAACCTCTCTCGCATTGTCTACCCTTTTACCCCCTTTCTCCCTTTTCTTACAAGTTACAACAAACAGACACAACGTTGTTCCTTCTTTCCCCCGCAAGCCCCGATTTGGCGTTGTGTCTACAGTCACAAGAGACGTGAGTCTCTTAGTCTCTTAGTCTCTTCCTTCTTTCCCCCTCTCTCAATTTCTTCTAGTATCAGCTCTCCCCCTCTCTCTTGCAAACCTCTCAGTCTCTTCCAATCCCAATTTCACCGACCACCTAGGTTCTCTCTCTCGTGCTCTCTCTCCCCCCTTTCTCACCATTTCCGTTTTCTCCTTCTGACGTTTTGTCTTCCCCCTTTCCATTTTCTCTCTCCTCCCTCCTTATTTCTATTTCTTCCGGTGGTTGCGTATCCTACACTATTTGATGGCATCCAGCTTACACTATCGCAGGTAACATCTTGGCTATTAAATGCCGCTAGGTAACATCTCTCCATTTTTCACTTTCTTCCTTAATCTTTTTCTATTTTAGGTTTTCTTTAAGCTTTTTCCTACTAACGTTTAACATGTTTCTATTTAGGATAAACAATGTTTGCGTTTTGAGGATGTTTAATGGTTACGATGGAAGTAAAGGCTATTATAATAATATCTTTCTTCACAATGCACTAGATTCATTTAATGAATGTTTGTCTTTATATGCTATTTACCTCTATTTATATCTCCTTCGATGCTCTTCTTCAGCTCTCCTCTCTGATCCTTCTCCTTCTACATCTTCAACTTTCTTCTTTGTTGCAAGTATTTCTTGATAGCATTTACTCTTGGTTTTTGGTATATACAGGTTTTCCCTTGGTGTTTTTGTTATTCTTACAATAGCCTTTACTTCCATGTTTAATGTCTGAACTCCAACTTCTGGAGGTTGTTAATGCATTTATTTCTTGGTCTTATTTGTAGTGTTAATACTTTGTAGAATTATTGTTTTTGGGTATACAGAGGTTTCCTCTTGTTGTTGTTATTACTCTTATAGTAGCCTTTACTTCCATGTGTTTAATGTCTTTTATATAATGATGGTAGTTGTTAATGCGTTTATTTCTTTTAGTTGTTCTTGTTTTTTCGTTGTCCTTTATTTTATTTTATTTGTAGTTGTGTTTTATTTTATTTTATTTTATTTTTATTACATGGGAGCAATGATGAAAACTTTTTTTCCTTTTGAATTCTAAGTGTATTTTTCTAACTTGTGTTACATGCTACAAAATGTTTTTTTTTTCTTTTACTTAAACTACCTTCTACTAATTCTTCTTTCATAATCTTTCTGCACTTTTCATGTCCTCTTTTCCTTCATGTAACTATATTTTTCATTTCTTTGTTTTAG